TTTTCGAGAATAGAAGGATAAAGAATAATTTTCGAGAATGGGACAGTAGGATGAACGATAATTTTAGGAGGCAATTATATCGGACACAAAGGGACTAATACCTATAATTGTGAATTGGGAATAGGAAAGCGTAAAAAAAACATGATTGCAAGGATACCGATAATCCTATTACGTAGATCTGCTGATTCAGAAACAAGAAAAAAATGAATAGGGGGCAAATAATAGGATTAAATACTAATAAAGATGAAATCGATGCTGGAATGACAAAAAGAATTTATATTATAAGCGGGAGGATGTATATGATTTTAGGAGGGGGGGGGTGGGGGTGGGGGGGAAAGAGGGTATTGTGGGAGGAATAATAGGATAAAGGAAGATTTAAAGAATAGAGATGCCCAGCAGGATACCAAGTATTAGTTGTTGACACGAAGAGCCAGGGAAGAGGGTGGGATGGGGGGGGGGGCGATGCAAGGAGAGAGAGAGAGAGAGAGAGAGAGAGAGAGAGAGAGAGAGAGGAGAGGAGAGAGAGAGAGAGAGAGAGAGAGAGAGAGAGAGAGAGAGAGAGAGAGAGAGAGAGAGAAGAGCGGAGAGCGAGAGCGAGGAGAGGGGAAAAAAGGAGAGAGAGAAGAGAAAGGGGGAGGGAGGAGGAAAGGGAGAGAGGGGGAAGGAAGAGGGGAGGAGAATAGGGAGAGAGGGGGGGGGAAGGGAGGAGGAAGGGAGAGGGAGGGAGGGGAAGGGGAGGAGAAAAGGGAGAGAGGGGAAAGGGAGGAGAAAAGGGAGAGAGGGGGAAGGAGGAGAGAGAGAAGGGGGAAGGGAGGAGGAACGGGAGAGAGGGGGAAGGGAGGAGAATAGGGATAGAGGGGGAAGGGAGGAGAATAGGGAGAGAGGTGGAAGGGAGGAGAAAAGGGGAGGAAAAGGGGAGGAGAGGAGGGAGGGGAGGGGAAGACGGAGGAGGGGGGGGAGGAGGAGAGGGAGAGAGGGGGAAGGGAGGAGGAGAGGTGAGGGGAAGGGGAGGAGGAGGAGGAGGGAGGAGGAGTGAGGGGGAAGGGAGGAGAGAGAGGGAGGAGGGAGGGAGGAGGAGAGGGAGTGAGAGGGAAGGGAGGAGGAGAAGGGAGTGAGGGGGAGGGAGGAGGAGAGGGAGTGAGGGGAAGGGAGGAGGAGAGGGAGTGAAGGGGGAAGGAGGAGGAGAGGGAATGTGAGTGCGGGAAGGGAGGAGGATGCAGGGAAGTTGAGGGGGAAGGGAGGAGGAGAAATAGGGAGAGAAGGGAAGTGGAGGAGGAGAGGTCTTCCGGCGAGAGGCGGAAAGGGAAGGAGGAGAGGAGAGAAGAAGGAAGAAGAGAGGAGGAGGGTGGGAGGAGGAAGAAAGGAAGGAGTGGGAGACCTGAGGTAGGGGGAGGGGAGGCGAACTCGAGGCATTTTCCACGGAGAGGGGGAGAGGCAGGGAGGGGGAAGCGGGGAGGGGGCGGCGGGGGCGGGCTCGGGGGTCGCGTCGCCCCGGTATTTTCAACGTGAGCCGTCGAGAGAATAGCTCACAATGTCTCTCGGGATTCGTATCATGCGCATCCTGGTAATCCTGTTGGGCAGCGAGCGTGACCTATTTTGGAGACGAAGGATAATGGCCTCCTTTTGGAGGACGAAGGATATGGCCGCCGCCGTGTGGTCATTGGCACTTATCATTCTCCTCACTTCAGCCGGATCGGGAACGACAGAGAAAAGGAGGCGGAGGATGCGAATATTGATGGCAGGTTGGATATGTAGATGCACCGGGGAGGAGGGGGAGGAGAGGAGGAGAGGGGGAGTGGAGGGAGGGGGGGAGGGAGGAGGGAGGGGAGGGAGAGAAGGGTTGGGTACGATTTGGCGAAGTTATGCAGGTTTTTTATATTTGCTGTTCGTGGTGTGTGTGTGTGTGTGTGTGTGTGTGTGTCGTGTGTGTGCGTGTGCGTGTGCGTGTGCGTGTGCGTGTGCGTGGCTGCGCTGTGCGTGTGCGTTGTGATTGGCGTAGGTGCGTGTGTGCGGTGTGTGCGTCGATGTGTGTGTGTGTGTGTGTGTGTCGTGTGTGTATGTGTGTGTCTGTGTTTTGTGGTGAATCTCTGTGTGTTTCGTGTTGCGTGTTATGTGAATCTCTGTGTTCGTGTTTGTGTTATCGTGTTTTCGTGTGTGTTTATACATGTACGTGCGCGCGCGTGTAATCGGTCATGAAAGCGGAATTCCTTCAATTTTCCGGGATGCGCCAACTTGCCAACGCTTTGGTTCGAGACTTTATTAACGCGGGGCGCCGTAACGAAGAACTGTGGGCCGTTTTCGACGATTTATGACACGGATCTACGGAGCCAGGAACACTGTCCTCAAATTCCCAACATTCCCCGGACCGTAAATAAATAGATTGCCTATCCCGATTGCAAAATTTAATTCGAGTCCAGATAAACGGAGAATTGAATTACGGCCAAATGAATGGAAGCTAATAATCAATCTTATTCCCATATCAGCTCTGCCAATCATCTCTCCGTCTCTGCTGCTTCTTCTACACTTCATTTTTATTGCGCTCGCTTTCTCTCGCCTCTCATCTCTCTCTCTCTCT